CATAACATAACCATCAATGATAATTTCAACATAAATACTATTAATAAAGAACATAAAAAATTAAAACATAACTCAAAAAAAGAAATCTACAAATTATATGATGTAAAATCTAGTATAAGGTACCTAAATATTTGTAAAAATATAAAACAATTAAAAATAGTAATGAAAAAATTGCTATCAATGTCAACAATAATTCAATGAATCATTTTAATTCAAGAACAAAACCGAAAAATTACAATAATATTAGTTATAACATCTGTGATTAATAAAAAAAGTTTTGATTTCTTTTAGTCACATATATTTCTTGTGTATAAGCTTATAATGACTTTTTAGAATCATCCCTTATAACTTAAAAGGGTGTCAAGTTTATTTTTAAATGGCAACTAACATATTTAACTAGATTATAAAAAATATAAATATCTAATTAAGAAAATCACTAATCGATAACAACTTTTGGACCAGTATTTCAGAAATTCTCATTTTTATATCTAAACGGAACGAAGAGTACGAACAGAAAATTGCTAGTGATAAAAATAGCAGCACCCACTCTTCACCTCCAGTTATTACTTTAATTATTAATAACTTCTGAAATACTACTGATCCAAAAGTTGTTATCGATCAGTCATTTTCATAATTAGATATTTATCCATTTTATAATTTAATTAAATATGTATTTTTCCATTATAACAAATAAAGTCGACACCCCTTTAAATTACAAGGAATAATTCAAAAAGTTTTATTAGCTGATATACAAGAAATATATGGGACTACAAGAAATCAAAAAATTTTTTCTAACATTGTATTTATTTTGTAAATAATCGTGTGGTTTATGATAAATCGATCATCCTGTAGAAAGAAACAAGCAATTTTCTAAGAAGTTAGAAAGAGTATATTGCACAAATTTAATAAAACAAAACTAATCCCAAATTCAACTTTGCCAAACATGTAATAAAGATTAAACATACAATAATAAAATTGATATTTAAACATTTTACACAATTAAAATTATTTATATATCACAAGCGTTTTTTAGAGGAGAAAAAAATTCAAAACAATTTTTTTTACGTGATAGTTATAGGCGCATATTCTCCAATGTCTTTAGCATAAAAATCCAGACCACAATTATAATAATATATAAAATGTACACATAGATCTTAAGAACAACATAGTTTATTAATTTTTAATATATCTAACAATGATAACAAATCATTTGTCCATTTTACCAAATCTTTTTTTTTTTTTATTAATATTATTTACCATTTTCATTTTGTGATTCATTTTTGTGTATCATTTATTTAAAAGATGATTTTTCGGGGTGAATTTTATTTAATTTTTAATCAATAACCTGATTGTGCATTACCGAAACTAGTAGTTAAGAATGTTACTATTAAACCTTTATTTAGGTTTAGTTTATTTTTATATTATTTAATTATCTAAATAAACTAATAATCTACAATTTTAAAGAATATAACTTATACAATAAATTGTATTATAAGAAAATAATTAATCAATGAACAAGGTCGAAAGTAAGCGATTAGATTACTTAAATGAATAATGTCATATCACACTTCATATAGCTCTTGAAATTTTTGAATATTTAACGCCTTAACGAATATAAATTACATGTTTTTTTGCGTACCCGTCAGTCTTTTGTTGGGTCTCGAGAGAACCACTTTTTGAAGACACAGCGGATTAACTAATAGGTCCTCATTTCAAAAACGCAACGCTATGTTCTTTTTCAAACATCCTGTGTCAACTTGACAGCCATAAAGCAAGTTTTTGTATTGTAAACCGCCATTCCAAGAAAAAGAGTAGCTTGATAGATTGAAAACGTAATGGCCCGCTTGTATACGACTAATCAGATACTGTTGTATGGCAAGATATCAACAAAATACATAATTTAACCCGTAAAAAAAAGTANATATCAACAAAATACATAATTTAACCCGTAAAAAAAAGTATAACTCATATTTTATAAAAAAAAAAAAAAAGCTTTTTTCTCAGAAAATCACAAATTAATTATCTAAGCCATTGATGAAATAAATAATACTTATTATTCACATCGGTCAAAACTAGTAAAAAAAAAACTAACGAATTGATCTGACAAAGCAGATAGAGTTTAAAATAAAAGAAACAACACCCCGGAGATGCTTTTAGTGTAAACCAAAGTTTTAGATTTAAGTATTTCCTTTTTCAATTAACTTTTTCCTACTGGAACTTTTATCCATACGCCAAAACCTAGAATTTCTGAAGTTATTTTTCGGAATGTATATATTTTTTAGCCATTTGGAAATCTTGGGAATTGACGACCTAAGATAACAAATTGTTACTAAGACATGATTAAATATACCAACATAATTTCATGTACTCATATGTTATAACTAATGTCCGATTTCATATTCTCTAAAATCGCATAAAATAAGCGGTTTATATTCAAATAAAATTTCTAATTTCCTCTTTATATTCTCTGAAGAAATATAAAAAATTATAGAAACATTGTTTAAAACATGTTGAGTTTTTAATTAAATAAGGTCGTATATCATAAATTTAAACGTGGATAATAATCAATAAGTGCATTTATTATCAAATTTCCTATAATAATATGATTTCAATGACAGCATCACGCAAATTAATAATTGTTGTCACTTTTAACCTGGCTAAACACGGAACACTCATAGTTGACATACGATAATGTTTCTAACTTTTGTAATAAAGATTAGAGATAATCATTTCTGTATAAAGCGCGTTAAACGTTATTATAATCCATAGAAAAGAAATCGCGTACTGTTATCAGTAAATAACGTAATAAGTGTTTATTTCCGTACTAAACATAATATGGACTAACATTAGATACCATAGAAAATTGTAAAAAAAATCAAAATTTTACAAACTTCAAAATGCCGTATAAACGTAACTACTGAATTAAAATAAGAATTTTTGGTATCACAATTTTTCTTTAGAACTTATCTATAAAATGGCTGTCGTCAAATCTTACACAAATTTTAATAAAAAAATTAATTTTTAAAATATTTTTTGGAATTGCGAAAAATAACATAAAACATATATTAAATATATATTGTAAAAATTGATAAAAAGTATAAAATATTGTATACTTATGATCTGCTTATGTAGATCATAAGTTATGAGAGTTGTAGTTAGATCTCTTCCACTCTGTATATATTATCAAAAAAAATTAAAAATTAAACTTGAAATCATTCAAGTATTATTTAAATATACAATGGTATATTATCATTAAAGATAATTATTATTTCGTATTTTTTTCTATTAAACTGATACAAAACAAATTATATAAAGTTACTTTTTAAAATAAATCATATTTATTTTCTCGTAATCGACGAATAATCCTAAATATGGTAAATAAGCCAAATATTTCATAACCAATGAAATAGTCACAAAAATGCTAAACAATTTTTATTTATTTGAATTTTGTGTTGAACGAACTATATGCGCTACATATGATCAGTAACAATATATAAAAACATATAAATCCGGAGTCTACAACGTTAATGAAAAATAAATTCATTAGCTTTTCAGAAAGGCAATACATTAATTTTCAATGAAATTAATGTCACTATACATATACTATTTTCTGAGAGATAACTTTATTCAAACGATTCACTTATTAAACTATAAAAATGTTTGGAAAATCAAAAAAAATATGTGCTTATAGAGTTGAAATTCTATTCCTGTTAACAGAATTGGTTAAATAAAAATAATCAATAGGAACAAGATAAATACAAATTAACAAGAAAAATTGACTTCCAATAAAAAAAAAAAATTAGTTAAAAATAAAGAAAAACTAGATTTACGAAAATAGAGTAATTTGTCTAGTTATCAAACAATTAAGGATATTAGTTAAAAATCAAATCTACTAGATTGAATTTAAGTTCAAAAAGCTGGGAAAGCCTGTAATTGAACGGGATTTTGATTGCTCAAAGCATATTTAAATGTCAACATAGGTGTTTTTACTTTTACCATAAGGGTATCATGTATCACATATAAACAAAATTACTCGACTGTGATACCAAAGATATTTTAAGTCATAACGAGGTTGTTCATTTATTTAGAAGTGTTTAGTTACCTTATACGTGAACCTTTTTTATATTTAATAATAATTAAAAATAATTCGATAAATTAAGTAAACATAATTGTAGAAATTGATAGTAAATCTCACTAAATAATTAATATGGTTACAAATTAATGATGTACTTATGAAAACAGTTTTATTATTTGTTTTTCAGTCTGATGAATTATTTGTTAAGTAAACAATTAAATCCAAGCTTATATAATGTTTACCAATGAACATTAATTTATATAAATTTCAGGTATCTTGTTAACAAAAATTTCGAACGAGAGAGATATTTTAATGAAGTTTATAAATCAAGTGCAACGTATTCACGTCAAAAAATACAAAAATATAATATCACAAATAATACAAATATTCCTCGTTAAGTTTAATTAGTAGTCTTCTTTTTCGATTGACAGATCGTAAGATCAACATATTAAATCTTCTCTGCATAGAACGACAGATAATATAAACAGTCAAAATGAGACAATCATTGCTTTTATTACAACATTCTAATTAGTATTTTTTAAGTTGAAAATGTTTCACGATTTTAAATAAATTAAATAATTATTACACATTAATTTGTTATCGTTTATTTTTTTCTATTGATAAACAATAATTTTTCTAGACAAAGGTTTCCGTATGTAGGAGATTTCTTGAAACATTGCCAGAAAGTATTAAAACACAAACATTAGTTTTAGCCATTCACCTAACTTGGCACGGGCATTGATGCCTTTCAAACACATTAGTTATCGAGAAATAATATGAAAATGAGAGAAAAATATGCGATTCAAATCAAATAATTTATTATTAAATGATTTAACTCTTAACAAAAACAATACGCTTGAATTTTTATGTATTTTAATGAAAAATTAAAATACATAAAGGATCAGAACCTTATTCTATTACTCACCAGTCTCCGGCTCCTGACACGCTGACAGGTTGTAATTGTTGTAGAGGTGGGTAGTGTACCATAGATATTGTGTCATCCGGTTGCCTTGAAGCCATCTAAACAATTTAAAAACGAAATTAAAAATGACAATCAATTTATACTGAACTTTTGAATTCTGTTTTTTGGCACGATGTGAAAAACATTTAAGTTCGCACATACCAACAGTCCTTTGTCACCGAGTGTCACCATAATAACAGGAATGTGAAGTATTAGCTTACAAACGACATCTTTTAAACTATTTATTGTTTCAGCGCATAAAACAGTATTGTCGTTGCCGCCTTTAACGCTAACTTTAATAGGGAAATTTGCACGTTCTTCGTCTGTAATATAAAAAACAAATGAATATATTAAAAATGATGTAGTATTACAGAAATGAAAATTGTATTGGTGATGACAACTACAATGATAAAATTTCTCAGCTGTAATTCACACAAAACTTGAATAATGCTGTTTCGAAGAAACCCATCGATTTGTTCGGCATTTTTTATGACACGCTGCATACATTAGACGTGTAATAATATTAAAGCGAATTGCTGGGAAATGCGACTAGAAATTTCTATATTCTTACGAGAAGTCATAAAAAACTATAGAGTAGGGTGATCTTAAAAACAACAATTTTTATCCTCGTTTTATTGAAATCTCATAACAGTTAATATTTATGTCAAGTATATAGTCAAACCATTTTTAAATGTTACAGACTAATTCATTAAAATAATCAAAACAGCCAATTTAATATGATATTATTGATTTTGTTCATTAAATAAAATTGTTAGCTATTTAATTATTCTAAATATTGAACATTTCGTATTAAAAATCAGTCATCAGTACACCATTTAATTTCACATAAACATTTTTTATACTGTTGCGTTGTCTTAGTATTTATTTTCTTAATATTATTAGATTTACAGGATAAACCAGATCTAAATGACATTTCTTATGACTTTTGGTTCACTTAAAACTTGTGCATGTTTTAAAAAATAATTTTTGCATGCTCAGCTTATATTTTTAACAATTGATTCTTTATTTTTTTAAGCTTTCTGAACATTTATATTAAATATTACATATTCTAACACATAAATAACAAAAAAAATTATATATATAAAAAATATATATATATATATATCTAAAATTACAATTAATTTTTATTATAAATAAAGACCTAGTGTATCAATGTTGATTTTAAAAATATAACTTTAACACTATTTTTTAACTAAAACTATTCTAAAAAATGTGATAAGCAAAGTAATTTTATTTGCATTAACGTATTAATTAATACGCTACAACAATATATTAATTAACAAATAGACACAATGCTGGAAATACTATTTAGCATCTATCATATGTTCTCTTAAACTGCAATACAACCTTACTAAAAATTTCGATATCAAATAAAAACAAAACACAAAACTATTTTTTAAATTATAATAAAACACAATTATTTTTATTGAAAACTGTTTTTAGTCATTAATTTATTTATATTCTTAAATATTGATTTAAATTCTTTTTTTTTTCTGAAATAGTAGTATGTTATACTAGACTAGTATACGTTTTGATGAATTGATCAATGATAGAAGATTGAATTCTTTCAACTGTGTAAAAAACAAGTTAAATTCAAAAACTGTGAACCGTAAAATTTCTACGAAAAAAGGAATCTGCTTTTATCTGACAGACTGAATATAAATAGACGATCAGATAAAAATAAAAAAGAATAAATTTCTTTGTTGTAAGTTGGGCAGTTGTTTTTTTTTCAAAAAAAATTATATTTTTTGTTTATTAAAAATACATTACACATTATTTGATGATAGCTGAAAACAATAAGTTTCTATGTTATTAATTATAATGGTTAAATGTTACTTGAAATTAAAAAACATAACAATAGTAAAGAATAATACAAAAATATTAAAAATAGCTTTATTTTTGTTATAATACGGTTCACCAAAATAGTATGAAATCAAGAGATTGAATTAACAACTTCCACTGATGAAAGACAATAATGTTATATAAAAGCAATAATTAGCTCAAGCTACCACTTGACACCCTTTATTCTGTCCTCCCACAGAAGAAAAAAATGTGCACGCATAAATCATTAGTTGAAAAGACATTTGATATGAACGGAATGAATGGGGTTGGGAATGGGACACCAGAGAAGTCGGAAGGCAAAGATAACGTAAGATACGTTATGTGGAAATATTTTAAATCCGATAATCTATAGAATCGTTTGGTCCTTATGAATATAACAAGGATTCAACAAATCGTTGTATGGCTTGTAAACATTATACCCTCCCCTCTGAGCTTGTCGGCGATAAAAGATGCATCTAAAAATATAAATGGATTTCTACCATAAACAAACATTAGCAGTAGTCTCCAAAAACATAAATTGAAGCCAAAACGACAAAACCAATGAAAAATATGTACTTAAGGCAACAAGAGTATTGGATATTTAAAAAAAACAAAAATTATTTTAAATGCGTTCGAGATTTTATATTTGGAATATACGTTCTATACAGTTTAATGTAAAGTCAATGATCTCAAAATCTTTGATATCACTGGATTAACAAAGACGCTGAGAAAATCTTGTGCTGGAAGAATAACGAATGGTACGAACAACCCTCTCATTTCTCTAGTCTGCTTCGTTGCGCTTGAAAAAAACGTGTTTACGCACCATCAAATCGTTGATCATTTAACAAAAGATTTTCCTCTGTTGGACGATTTGCAGTAGACTAAGAACATTCGCCATTATTTACTAGAAAGGATCATAGCAAACATCTCATCATTCATTTGATCAACAATAAGAGCCATAAATTGTAGCCATAACTCCACAGTACTACTATATAAATTAATATTCTAAACTTGAGTACCAAAAGTTTTGATTGACATTACAGTAATTATTTTTTAATAAACTGCAGTAATATTAAATACTGTTTCCATAAATTTTAACTAAAATTAGATATTTATGATGTTAAATATTGTTGATATAATTTTCTATTAGATTTTATGAAAATTTTGCAATTTTAAGAACAAATATTCACGAAAAACTAAAAATTATAGAAATGCAGGAAGTTAAAAATTAATAGTATCACCACAATCGTCAATAATGTAATGGATTTTTTCTTGGAGAAACAATAAAATATATATCAAAATTAAATTTATTATACAAAGTAAATACTTATGATTTACAATAAGTCAAAACAAAATTTTACAACCGTTGTTTTTTAAAAATATTTAATTAATAATCACAATAAAAAAATTACATGTTTCGTTCAAATAAATTAATTTTTTTAACAAAATACACAACAGAAAATGTTGATTCATAAAAAAATCACACAAAAATTAGCAACATAGTTTATTTGAAATTTTAATTTTCTACTAACAAAATCAATTTGGAAACATTATTTATTTATTTTTTAATTAAGTATAATATCTCTTGAAAAGCAACCATATGTTAAACTAACGTATTAACACGAACAATTATAATCATTATTTATAAAAAATATGAAAAGTCACCAAAGATTTTTTTTAACAATAATATTACTTTTTAAACCTATTTTCTAGTAAATAAACACTATTAAAATATCTCAAATATGTCACAAATTTTTTATGTGTTGACTAAGATGTCACCAAAAAACAAATGATGCATTCAAGAATTGTTTATGTTTATATCTATTTAAAACATTCTGAAATTACAATGATGAGGTTCCATATTCAAAACAAAATTCAACTATACATTTATCTTTAATTGTCAAGTTTTTATATAAATCATAAAAGATAGTGGCGTAGCCAGGGATGGTTGATTAGGTAGGACATCTAATCCGAATTTTATGAATTGTTTTAAATCATTAATTATCTATGAAAATAGGTGATAAAATCCTTGTTTGTATTAAACTTCTATCGTTATTTTATTAATTGATATTATTTTGTCATTCAGTCTAAATTTAACAATTGTTCAATATTTGATAAGTACCTAGATAACAATTTGGAAATATTCGATTTCATACTTTAATTAATTCAGATAACTTTTAAAATAATAATAATTTAGATATATCTATTTTTTGTCTAATTAATTAGAATTTAAAACTAAAAAGCCACAAAAATGATTATAAAATTATTATTATTGCGTATTTCGGGAACAATGTTACCATCATCAAGGCTAAACACATACTCACATTTTTATATTTTTTAATTTTAAATTAATATTTTTTAAGCATTTTTAATTTTAAATAACATAAGCTAGTAGTGATTTTTATTATATTTAAGTAGTATTTATTTTTCGAATTATAAGAGGTTACATCTTTTAGGTCCTTCCCTTATCCTATATTAGAGTAAAAATTTTAATTTTTACACGTAATTTTAAATAAAAAAAATTAAAATTTTAATTAAATTTTTATTTTATTTGTTTATATATATATATAATAGAAAATGACCCAACTAATGTAATAACTGACTGATAACAATTTTTCAAACTGTAGTTCAGAAATTATGAAGTTTTTATACCTGAGTGGGAAGAGTAGCACGGCAGAGTGATACGCCATGATAAAAATAACATGACTCATATCTCATCTTCTATCTACAAGTTTTATGAACTCCAGAAATACTGGTTCAAAAGTAGTTTTCGAAAAGCCATTCTATAATTGGATCATTTTCTATTATATAAATAAACTAGTTACATATGTATGTTGCAATTAAAAAAAAATTGATTGTCTTATAAAAAATAAGAGATAGACTAAAAAAATATTTAATCATAATAATTCAGAAATACGTACTAATAAACAAAAACAAAAAACAAATATTCAAAATTAATATAAATTTAGGATCAACTATAAATCGATTATACTGAATTATTATAAGTTTAATATTATAATATTTATTTAATGTTATCAGAATAGTCGAATAATAATATTGAGTTTATAATATTTTTGGGAAAGTAGGAAAATATAAGGTATGAAATATTTCATAATTAATTATTATAAAATATTTCCAGAAAATTGTATTGAAAACGTTAGAATGTATTGCAAATATAATCTCTACATATTTTTAGAAATATTTTCTCAAGATAATTTTACTACATTTTATCGATATATGTTAGAAATATATTTCTCCCGTAAATAACAGTAACCCAACTAAACAAATTAGTTACCTATCTACCATGTCCATTTTCAAATTATTTAGTCGATCGTATTCAATTTTGTAATCGAATTTGACTTGTGTCAAAGTTCAGCACACTTAAACAATTTGGTCACATTCCTATTCAAAAGATTGTTGGAACCCAAAAAGACAGATTTTATTTACGAGTGCTTCAAAAAAGCTTAGTGCTAGACTTAGTTTAGCATACTTACATATAGTATAATTCAATAAATATTGTTGATGAAAAATTTGATATCCTAAAATTCCTCTTTTTATTTGTTTTACTTATCACAAAGAACATAATTAAAAGACAAATTGAATAGTCACATGCAGTTTGCCAAGAAAACTAAAATATTATATATATTTTTATAGAGTGTTAAGCAATTAAGGAAACGGATTTCTTTGTTCTCATTGTTTGTAACAATTGACCTTTTTCCTTACTTACTGAACACCCTTTATATAAGTCTTCTATATCTTATTGCAAAAACTTCTTGAAAAACACAATGATAGGATAAATGAAAGCTATACAAATAATGATCATTATATCGTTTAAAAAACACATGAATAGATTTTTATTTGACCTAGAGCTTGTAGAATATATGATAGTAATAGCTATGATACAACAACAATAATTCCCTGAAAACTTTGATTTAACGACTTGCATCAATAAATCACTACTGTCGTAATTTTCCAAGAATTACCTCCCCTAATAAATCAAACTCTGTAGAGCTTTTGGTATTGTTAAATAGATTGAAACATGATTCATATATAATAGTAGTTTGTACATGAAATAAGCTGAGCGTAGTAATCATTTATTAATCGAAGTTATCAAATTTATCGCAAGAAATTATTGAAGTGATGCTTTGTCTATGTCACTATCTTTAAGTATATTCCACATCATTTTTATTTTTTAAGCTCACATGTTTTGGTTTTCAGAAATAACAGTTATAAGTCGTATGGCCGTTTTACGAACCATGATTAATACAGGTAAAATACATAAAAAGTTATACACCTATAGCTAAGGCACTTACTATCTAAGGCGTCCGATATAAACTCCAACTCCTTCAAGTTTGGTGAAATAAAAGAAAGCCCTTTCCACTTGTCCGTACAAAAAGGCTTGGCGGCCACCGCTATGTCCGTAGGTTCGAAATAAACTGTATACAATGAATAACTATATAGTTGTACATTAAGTGCATAGTGAAACTTTTAAATTGCCACAAAAAAAGATTTACTTTTTCGGTCAAAGACTCTTACCCGGTATGTTTTCTTCGTTGCAAAATTCAATTACAAATTCCATTGTCTCCTTGCTTAAGTTACCATCCATGACAACCAAAGGACATTGGTACAAGGAATCTAAATTAAGTTTTATCTATAAAAAAACAATAACAAAGTTATAATAAAATAATGTAAAGATTTACTTGAATTTTATTTATAATAGCATCTCCGGACTTAATTTTAATACTAAGTAAATTTTGGTCCGTACCTTTAAACACGTAAATACTTTAAAATGAGGACGCAAAACAAATAAAAATTTTGGTATTTTGAATTTTTTAATGAACTGTAAATATATAATGAGTTATTCATTAAAAAATTATATATAATCTTGTTTTATCTTTATTGTTTTGTTTTTTCTATGATAAACAGGATAATTAATTTACTGTTCATCTCTAAACTTTTCCTAAAAAATAACAATTTTGAATTTTTTTTTTATATTTTGCTTAGTATGATTTATTTCTCGATTTATAAGTAGTTACATTTCTTTTAGGTTTGTCCCTTATCTTATACTAGGGCCTAAACTTAATTTTTTTAAATGGCATCATATATATTTTCATTTATTAAATGTTAGAAAATGATCCAACTAAAAAAATAAATATTCCATAAAAACTTTTGAACCAGTATTTCGGAAAATATTAACATTTTTAAATGTGGTGTTGAGGTGCGTATTCTGATATTTATATCGATTTGACGTACTTATTTTCCTATTTTTAAATTAAGTGTACTGCCGAAATTATTTGAAAAATTTATTAAGATTGTCTTCAAAGTTGAAATTGTACAACATGCATTCTGCTCATCCAAGTCAACAGTAACTAACTTATTGGTATTTTATACTGATCTGATTTCATCTGGAGGTCGTATAGATCCTGTCTATTCTGACCTTTGAAAAGTATTTGATAGTGTAATCATTCAATTTTGAAGAATAAATTAAAGTGCTTAGGTGTTGAGTATCCATTCGTGATTATCACATTGGTTATCTCGCGCTTTGTCTTATTACATTGGTAGAACACAACAAGTTAAAATAGGGAAGTTAACATCACAAATAATAACTGTATGTTCGGTGTGTCCTAAGAGAGTCACTTATCGCCTCTGCTATTCATTATACTTATAAACGATCTATGCTCAATAATTAGTTAATGTAAATGCTTACTTTTTTTTTGATCGTCTCAAATTATATTTACCTATTCTTATAACTGTTGATTTTTTTTAAATACAGATTGATTTGAGTAAACTATTTAATTGTTTCCAAATTAATAGTATAACAACTAATACAAATAAATGCTCACAAATAACATTTACTAGGAAGAAATCTTATATTAAACATCGATATGCAAAAAATAATTGTAATTTAAATATTGTTTATTATTTTAAAGAGTTTGGGATTTTTCTTTACTGCAACTTATCTTTTTCTGAACACATTATATGTGGTGTATAATATCAGTTATCTATAATAATACTTCGCGTACTCTTGGTTTTTTAAATCTTAATTAGGCAAATTTAATAATCTAAAGACACTCTATATGGCACTAGTGAAATCTATTCTTGAGTAGGCATCAATTATCTGATCGCCGTACCAAATAGGTGAGATAAATAAAACTGACAAGGGGAGATCACAGTGATGGGGTCGCCGATTTTCATAAAATGTATATAAATTTAATCTATATTACATACATAATAAGAGATATTTTTTTACCAATGCTCTCCCTAAGTCGAGAAAATTGACTTTGAAAAATTTTAATTGGCTTAAATAGGGTCATTTTTCTTACATAGACAATAACGTGTTGGCGTCGAATTGAGAAAACGGGATCTTATGACATGTACGGATTCGGATTAAATCTCATCAGATGGTGAGATTTTTTGCATTTTGTTCCTAATTTTTTTCACGGTTATTCTTTTGAATTATTAATTGTACGTAATATTTGTTATTTTTTTTACATTTTATACATCTACAGGTTGTTCAGTAAGTTAGGAAACAGTTAAATTGTTAAAATCAATAAGAACAATGGGAACCAGTTTTCTTACTTACTGAACACTCTGTATATAATTAAACCTTTCAAAAATCTCTCTCATTTAAAAATTGATATACTTTTACCGGGTTAATATTAAAATAAGTTATATTTATATGCATAAAATATTATTTTATTTTATTCATATTTTATCACTGAAAAATCGATAATTTGTATCATCAAATGTGTTTTGAATGTAAATAAAACTATATATATATACTACGTAAAATTAATAATTCAAAGAGAAAACCGTGAAAAAATTAGGATAAGAATTCTCAAAGTCAATTTTCTCGACTTAGGGGGTCATTGGCAAAAAATTAAAAATACTTCTTATTTTGTATTTAATATACATTAAATTTATATAAGTTTTATGAAAATCAATGACCCCATCACCGTAACCTCCCCTTGTGAGCTAATTCAAAATCGTTTTATACAATTGATAAATTTCAAGTTAAATAACTGGGTAGATTCCAAACATAAGTTGATTGAACATCTAAATAAATCTTCTCTTTCTGCAAGAAGAAAGTTTATTGATATGACTAGAGTTTAATTTGCTAAATAACAATGTGGATTGTCCAGAGTTATTATGCTTAAAACCGTTTAATGTACCTGGTGCATATCTTCGTAATCAAACAATATTTTATACTTCTTTTCAAAAACAAAATTAGTCTTTTCTCTCTGGTCAATAAAATGTTGGATAATTGTGATGCTCCTAAAAACTTTGAACTTTTATATGACTCGCTTGTTAAGTTGAAGGTTTATAGTTTAAAATAGATTAATTTTATATTAGTGTTCCTATGTTATCATGTATTCATAAAGTATTCATAAAATATTCATTGTATTTTTATATATTTATATAAACATAATGTTAGTATATTTATATATACGACTTTGTTGGTTTTTTCAACCCAAAGGTTGGTTTGAAACTCTTCTTTTCCATTCTTCAGGTCCCCCAGGTGATTTTTTTCCTTCTATCATGTCCTCTAGTATTGTTCTGTGCAGTTCTTTTGGATGTCTTAATATATATCCCATAATTTTCCATCTTCTCTTCCTATTCGAGTCTATTAATAAGCGTTCCTGGCCGACTATTTCCAGTATATCTTGGTTACTTTTTGTTCTATTCAGCATATTTTTTCCAAGCGTTTCCAGCACCACATTTCAAATAATTCTAATGTTTTCTTTCAGTTTCATTTATAATCCATATTTCACGTCCATTTAATGCTATACTCAAAACATATGTTTAATAAGTGTTTTCCTAATGCTTAAGTTCAATTTTCTGGACATGAATAATTTTGATTTATTATTGAATACTGATTTTGCTATTCATATATATTTTTAGCTTCGAAGCGAGGCTGAGAAGGTATTAATTTTACTATGATGTGTTTTTTTTTTTTTTTTTGTCTGTTACCACTTTTTCTCAGCTCTCACCGAACCGATTTCTTTCAATGATACGTTAAAAGATCACATAATAAATTACAAATTTAAAAATCGCTAATTTTTTCAATTTTTTTTACTTAAAACTGCCATAACTTTTTCAAAAAAGAACAAATCACTATAATTTTTTTTTTTATATATATAGATGCTTGATGTCTTTACCTATCATTTGGTATATTTTTTTTATAAATTTAACCTTTTACCAGCCCACAGGGAGGGATTCAAAATAACTTTTTTACAAAAAATTAACTTTTGAAAGTGTTCCGGAAAGTCTGACACTTTTATATATATCTTAAATTAAAGCTAATGTAATATACTTTATTATAGATAAAAAATGTTAGAGTGATTAAATTAATAATAAATGTCATTTGAATTTTTATTATAACTTTATTTGTTTATTATATATAAACATTTAAAGTTTCAAATTTTTGAGTTAATATACATGTGTATAATACACGAGGGATTACAAATACAGGTAGCTAATTGGTTTTTTATGACATCGATATTAGCAGGTACACAGCATTATTATCAATGGTAGTAAGGCACATTGATCTAAGTTTATAAATACACTAACTGACAATACAGAAAGTATATCTATTGATAATCATAATTGATAATAAACAATCCGTGACTGAGACAGCAATGTCATAAAAATCCAATTAGCTACCTGTATTTACAATCCCATGTGTATTATACATGTATATTAACTCAAAAATTTTAAACTTTACATGTTTATATCTAATAAACAAATAAAGTTATACTAAAAATTCAAATGCCAATAAATAAAATAATAAATAAATATTATATTTATTTTTTGATTTATACAGTGGTTCTTGATAAGTGTATATATAGAGTCGTAGGGACAAAAAATCAAAGTTTAGATTTATGGTACTTCATATTATAAATCTATTATATAAAAATTTCAAGACTTTATAAACAATAGCATAATATTATAAAAAATGTATTGATTTTTAAAGGATATACTATTTGGTAGTTAATATAAGAGACGATCAGATACAAACTGCTATATTATACCCTACTCAAACTGTATTCGTCATGTAGACAATGAAACTATGACCAAACTAACACAACAGCATACCCAGAATTCGTTTAGCAGGCTCCCTACATTGAACAACCATTTTTAACATTTCAGAATTCGAAAAGAATTTGTAATAGAACCCTAGAAAGTAATATAATTTCAAAACTACACAAGCTACAAGCTGTAGTTGTTTTGATGTCGTTCAATAAAATCTGGATTGTAAAATAATAATCTAACATTTGAAATAACCTACTATAAAGTTTAAGAAAATACCCCTCTAGTTTATATTAAAAGTACTGTAATAAAAAAAGTTTCAAAATTAAAGCTTTAAAAAGTATTTGTTTATCGACAGTTTTTTTTTCTACAAGGTCATTTCTATTTAACTAAAATGTTGTTTTGTTTATAAATTAAATTCACTGAGTTCTATTATTATAAAAATATATAAGGAACTGTTCTAATTTTAAAATAAATATCATTATTTATTGAATAAACAATTTATTGTACTTTACTTAAAATAAACTTAATTGATTTCAAATGAAAATTTCAAATTGAATAATTCTATTTAATTATAAAGTCTTGCACATTTAAAAATTGGTCAGAAAACTAGTTTATATGATTTCGGCGATCAATATATGTTAACCATATTTTTAACGTTTTTTATTAATTTCAAATAATAGATTTTAAACTTTTAAATTTAGCGACACATATTTTTGACGAGTGTATAACTTTAGTACATTGATACAAACTTTTAAACACAATCTTTAATTAAAATACTGTGTATATTTCCTAGTTTGCATAAAGCAATTACTTTACCTTAACTCTTACGAATAATCTTCAGATTATACTTATACAATTTTGTTTTTAAAACTACTAAGTTCAAAACACTGAGTACAGGATATTTATACAATTGGAACATAATAAAAATCATTTTATATATATTCCAAGTATAACAGACTCAAAATATTATACATTACCTAAACCAACTTTCTACAATGATTTGAAGGGTTTATAATTACCATGTCGACTGTTATCAGTTGGTGGCAACTCATGTCTCCTATACATGCTACACAATCACCCAGTTGACTGTGAAGAACTATGCACCACGCTGTAGTCTTGTCCGTCGTCAGAATGTTATCCGTATTCTAAGTACACATCATTTATAGAAAATTATTAATTACGATATTTTTTACTTTAAGACGTCAGCATTAAAAATGAGTATTCAAACTAATCATTACAAACTTATTGTTGCATTTTACTAACCACGTGGCTAAGCGAAGAGCGTATTAGATCTCCGTTAAAGTCTGTACCAATAGCCGACATAAAACAGACGTTGTGTCCAAATAAGCTCAAAGCGTCTGCAATGTTTCTGCCGACTCCTCCACTTACCCGTTTGATATCACCATCCAACATTCTTCCATCTAACTAAAACACAAAAGTAAAATTTATTAAATGTAATAATCATAATGTAAACCCATCAGTAATTCAATCAGAACAACATACTATTACTTATCATACTATTAATAATAATAGCCAAGATTTTAAATTAATAAAATATTTGAGATTTAAATGTAATTTTGAGTTGTAGCGCTCTAGATAAATAATTACAAGATCATTTCTCATGTAAATAGGAAATCAATTGAAATAAAAATAATTACGTATACACTTGTAAATGCATTTAATTATAAAATTTACTGCATTTTATCATGTATAATGCTACTAAAAGGAAACAGAACTTAAAAAATCGCTACTTGACACCAACATTTTTTGAGGTTTAAAATCCGAACAGGGATAAATATTTTTATTTTCAGAAAATCAAACCAAAAAGTTTAAAAAAACAAAGTATTTCAAAGACTATTTGGGATTTTATCGTACAGTCAAGATGTTAGTGTAATAACTCGAAAATTGTTTAATATATTTCAATTAAAATTAAATTTTTAGATCTGTGGAGTTTTTCAACCAAATAATTTCACTTTTCAATAATTTGTTATTCTCGACAATTTCTGAGACTATAAGTTATTTACTCAAATTTAGTCAACCAAAAGCCGGGTTAGTCTAGCTTTTGTTATATTTCAAAAAATGAACGAAAACATTTTTGATATTATTAAAAACATAAAAATATCGTATATCAAAATAGCCTATCCATGTCACTAAAAATTATTTTTTATTATTATTTTAAAATGATATTTATATTAAAAGACAGTAACTCTTCTAATTTTTTTATTACTTTAATTTATAAAGTTTTTGATTTTACTAGATACGTTACTATGGTTAAGATGAATCAATAACTACAATTTACAACCTTTACTTTTCACTTTCATAGCCAAAATTCTCCAGACTACGTTCTCTGCTGTACTTAAGTAAGCTAATATTTCGTTTCGCATTGTTTCTCTCATAACAATCATTCAAATAATGGCCCACAAAGTTGTACGTCAAATGATGGCTGTATTATTCATCATATTTGAACTTGTGATGCGTTTTAATGTGGACATCATTACTAATGTCATTATTCATTTTATCATTGTTATGTTTGCCATTAACATGGAAATTATAAAGAATAAGACGTCATCCAAAAAGCGTAAACCTTTGATTGATCCTCGAGACAAGGACCGTGTGTTACGTTTTGTCGGCAACTACTTGAATACCATGATCCATTTTCCTGAAAATCTGTGGACACTTTTCTACAAGTCGGGACAGTATCAGGAAATTTACAAGTATTCAGGACCTGATGTATTTGCTCATAGTCGAACCAAAATACGAGACAACATTGATTGTCAGTACTTCAGACATGCTGATCTGGAGATCGATTTGTGTAACATTCAAGAATATCCAGACTTGGTGTGGCTGGTTGACGTGTACGCCTCCATAAGACAACCTCGCCTTGAATCGCGGCCGAGGTTTTTTAATCAAACTTTTATGATTAAACGTGTAAAACCACATTGTTTTAAAGTACTTGCGACTACTATCAAGTACCACAAAACAGTTCACACATAGTTTGGTAAACTCCGTTCAAATTGATCAATAATAAATTTACATACATTTACTTAATATTTTTTTTAGAGAAACGTATAATTGTGTTTTTTATTAGTGTCTGGCGATTGAATTTTTATTAAGAAATTTTCAGCTAATTGTAATTTATTTGAAACAATAACGCTTGACGTAAAATATTTTGTATTTTTTAGAAATTGAAAATTTAAACCATTAAACATGGATGTCATATGTCTGTGTTCAATTATACTTATTTGCCTCAATATTTTTCAATAATTAACAGATTCGATATGACTAGCAAAAGTAGCTTAAAATTTATGTTGTCTAAATAAAAACTTAAATTGGTCAGTTGACAAAAATACGTTATGATATAAAATATAAAAAAATTAAATATTTTGTTAATTTAACTTGTATACAATGTTCTAGGAATACACATGTCAAATTTGGAATAACGCAACAACAAAATAATCTCTGGTATACAACATATTAATGTAAGCAACATTCGAATGCTTACAAAATTATTTCTTTTATTACTTTATGATTTTGCATGATTTTACTTTATTTGCAGTTTATCTTAAAGAATTTTGTTCTATACATTTTATATTATCTACTTTAATTGATTAAAATCATATAAATATAAATATCTATTTCTAATTGTTGATAATTAAATCTAATTATATACGAATATATTATTTTATTATTTTTTTATAAATAATTGACGTATTGTAAAGATAATGAAATTCAGTTTAGAAATAAAATAAAAAAGTTGAAAAAAAAATGTAATTTTGTACACAATTATGTAAACGTTTAAATTTATTCAATTATGTTCATTATTGTAGGAAAAATATAAACTTGTGCTATATATAAAAAAAACTGTTTTTTTTTTTGCTTAAACTTTATACCAATTTTATAATTATTTTAAAACAAAATAATATTGTCTTATAAAAATAAAACTTTTTATCTTCCAACATATAAATCATACTTAGCAATGGCGACTGAGACGATCACCTCAAATGCCATAGGTAAACAGTCACAGCTGTGACAATTGTCCGTTTGGTACTCTATTAAAAGAATCCCAATGAAACGTTTAACACATTTAATTGAAATTATAAACAAAGCAGGACATTTGCATAACAAATAATAGGATTTCATACAAATAGAACATTAATATTCAAATTTTCTTCAATAGCTAGTTAAGGTTGTTGTAATTCTGATAAATCTTTATTGAGCTACTCATAAAAATTATAATGCGACAGATTAACTAAAAAGCCAATATACGGTAAAGATGCAACCTGTATATAATAAAAATACTTCGATTCGAATGTGTAAGTAGATACTTGAACAATCCGCACGTTAGCTCATTATAATTTCATTACAAACTAAGTTATAATTTAGTGTGTACTCTATGTTTTGAATAAAATTCGAATATTTGGTAAATAGTACAAATATAAATATTAAGTATAATAAATATAAACAAACACATAATATATTTAAAAATTAAGAAAGCCATTAACAATATGATATATATATTAAAATTAAAAAAACAAAACAATTATAAAGAGCATAAAATATATGATGTACGTTTGAAAACGGCGTTAAGTTTAAAATAACAACTCAGATCGTTAATTTTTTATTAAAATATCATTTTTTTATAAAACTATGATACAAAAATTAATTCTAAATTCATATTTATTTGCACGCATACATTGTAAAAAATGCAAAATTCATATATACAAGTAAGCTGTTATTTCAACAAAATGTATTTTTATTGTTGTTATTGCATCGTTGTACTATAAGTAATAAATTGTACAAAGATGTTAGAATGATGAAAATGAGTAAGCATAATAGCTTGTGCACAGAAACTGCCTCGAGATGAACTCTTCCGCTTTGTCTGTAAATAAACAAAAATAACCTAAGGAAGTAAGTAGACTTAATGGGAGTCATGCCGAACAATACTTGGTTCGTTAGACGTATTACAGTTCATACGAAGCATCTATAACTCGTCTAGTTCCCAAGAAATTTATCACTGAATTTAATTTTAAAATCCAGTCGTTTCAAAGTAATAGTATGTACGCCACAGTCATTAGTTACTCGACGTTTTCTGCACAATATCATGAAAATGGAGTAAAACAATATTGTAGAATCAAACCAAGTATAAAACATTGTTTTGTTATCAATGAACATGGTTTATTGTATAAAACAGATCGTTATAAATCTATTTTAGTATCGCGGTGGACGTAAAAACCAACACCAGTCATAGTGATAAACGAGTATACAGTACTTTTTAATATTTATACATTTTTTTTCTACAATTCAAAATTTCCAATACATATAAAACCAACCCAAACGTTTATTATTTATTAAAAAAGTTTGTATTGTTTTCTACTGGCTCAGTTTATTTTATACTAGAACAGATGGACGATTGTAAAAATATTTATTAATAATTCCCCCCTTGATGGTTTTTTTGGTGAAATATTGCAACATTTTTATCACGCCAACGATCATTATTCAGTAAGTTTATATAATACAATTTTCAATTTACTTATACTCTATTAACTTTATTTATCTGAATCAAAAAACAAAAAAAAAATGCTAAATTCCAACTATAAAAGGCTTTCCTTAAAAAGAAATCGAAATTACTTATTTTCTGTTCTTTTAGAAGACATTGTTTTGTTTTTACTGTATCAAATAAATAATATAAAACCCATCATTTTCGAGGCTTCCGAAAATTTTTGTTCAAGTTTTTAAACACACTCGGTCGTATTTATTTAAAAAAAATCTCATGTACATATAATTTCATTTTATCTAATTCAATTTCTGATTTAATATCAGAACCTAAAGAATATTTATCCGTAACAAATAAAAATCGTTTCTTTAAAGTTTCATCAAACATGTTTTTTAACATGTTACCAAATTTGAAACATAATACTCGCATTATTTTTTCGATTACTTAATAAGCATTTTTAAAATTATTCGGTTTCAAATTTCATTTAGAATTTAACACGTGGGACATAATATTAAAGTTTCCGAGCTCTGGAAGTAGTGTGGCATAAAAAAATGTATTAAAATATTATGTAACAATATAACTCGACAATAATAATAGTTATTATAATATATTTGTTCAATAAAATGTACTATTCATTCAAATTTTATTAAGAATTTTCCCAAAATTAACATTAGNCTATTCATTCAAATTTTACTAAGAATTTTCCCAAAATTAACATTATGATACGTTGGACGCTGTACTTATTTATCAAAATAATACAATTGTTTGATTATTATTTTATTTGATCTGTAACCAATCAAACAGCGGAAAATCAAAAGCGGCAAAGTCTAATAATAATTGTATCCGGGAAAGTTGCGATTTATGTATAAAATGTCATTAGAAATGGAGCGAATTCATTAAAGCGGTTTATTAGTCGTTAACGACTGAAATGAATACAAAACAATGTTTAAATTCCATTTGACGGAGTCATAATAATTCACTTTTGGGATTTATATTTGTGGGGATATCATTGAGGTGTTGGTGGGCGGCCGTTTGAAGTCGCGATTTTCAATCGGAAAAATTCTTCCGTGCTGTAAATACACGCGAAAAAGAGCGGGGCAAACTGCTCGCGTAATGTCATCAAATAAAAAAATACATAGTGCACCTAGCATTATTTTTATTATACTAGTCATTTTGCCGTTGCTCAAAGTTATTATTATTACAACATAAACCTGAAGTACATTATGTGAATCATCCACGAACCTACTCGAGACACGTGTGCGCTCACTCACTTGTGTGCGAACTAGTGAGGGAGAAACGTATCTTGAATGGCAGTGATCAAAAGGAAAAAATTCCAATAGGATTCAGCGCGGATACGTGTAATGTTATTAAACGCACGGCAGTGTAATACGGTCGGAGTACACTACAGAGACAAATTATAATATATAACGATTAAAATTCATGAGCCCGTAAAAAAAAAACTACGCGTCTCGTCTTGGAGTTTATCTGGAGTTGATACGGCTCAGTTTTTATACGTCGTGGCAAAAGTGACGAATGAACGTGTAAAAACATTACACTGGTCTGAACTTGTTCCAGAACGGCTTGGCCCCCAGAGCACATAAAAAACAATAATAATTGACACGTAAAAATCGGACGAATTAAAACGCTAAGCAAAGGCGGAGAGGGGTCTGAAACGCGGACCGGATTTACTGAGAGATAAAACCCGAATTGGTGGTCGGGCAGTGGACGAGCGGCGCTTGCGGTAAGGTGCGGCCGTTCAGTAGTGGCCTGGCCGAGCGGAATGAGAGTGGAAAAGACAAGAGGAACGGGTAGACCGGGACGGACGGGCGAATGCTTAAGAGGTAAAGGAGGTCCATGAGGTGCCTCGAAGAAGAGGAGCGGGTCGTATTAACGCGTTTCCATGGCAACCTTTTGATGCGTAAAGTAGGGCCGGGCGCGCGTCATACTCTCCGCGCGGAGCGTGTGCTTCTACTTTTATCGATTCGGCGACCACATATAACCAACCTATTTAAATATTTTCAAGCACGCGTTATTGCCGTTTGTTCTTCGTCAATGTATATATGTATGTGCACGCGCGCGCGTGTGTGTGTGTGTGAGCACTTCCACTTAAGCACGATTTATGGGAGCTGCCGGTTTTTAGAAAAATTTCGTCGAGTGCTCCGAGGAGGTTGTCGTTTTGCACGTATCGATTTGACGATTACTTAATTGTCAAGTCGGCGAGCTGCGCACACGAGAGACTTACGCGTAGCACACTGTTTAGATATCGTGCACGACAGTTATTGCTAATATTACTGTTGTACCGCTACTACACAGTATACAGTCTGACATTAACAAACGCATGCACACTACTTATCAAACTAACAACAATTTTTTATTCGCGAGACGCGAGTTTAACACTGCGGCGTTTGTAAACATTGCAGCAACAAGAGTAATGGTGTAGAAACAATGTAACCGTGCGGCAAGGCGAACACGCTGTGCGTTATATTCGCATATAACGGCACTAGGGGAAGGGGCAAACAAACCGAAATAAGCACCACGACGTCACATTAAGTGCAGATCGGGTAAATTGTTCCATAATGCACCTGTTGATTTTGAACCTTTATCGCCCCGACGCTTCATGCATTCAACTATGGGTCGACGAGTTATAGTTGCGATATAGCGGAACAAGGTTAATAAGTTGGAATGTTTATACGTGTCGCCAGTTATTTACAAGGGGCGACGTATTGCATAAGATGGAAGGCGAATCGAGCGGAGGGAATCGCGAAATTGAAAAAGTTAAATTACAACTTGCCCGCCTTTTTTTTACATCTCGGAAATTTTAATATGCCTGCAGTTCCGAGACGGTATTACTTATTATTGTATTTTTTGTCACTTTCCTTAATGAAATTCCCACCGATCTCTGGCAACTGTAAAATAAATAAAAATAAAATAATCGAGACAAGCGGTTAAACAGGACCTCTTGACACATTAATTAAAAGATTTTCATGGTCGAAGCATCCAGTCCACCAGAACGCAATCAACAATTCCGATCTAATCAGTCTACCAACTTACAGCACTCTTTATATATATACGCAGAGTTGTTTTACCGGTCACTTTTGTGGATACCATTAGAATAGTATTATTCAGCTATCATTTGATATCGTCAAATAGATAGCAAGTGGCACATGATAATGATTGATCCCTTGAACAGCACGAGTAATCCAATTATCGTGAACACATTGTGTCATATCCAAATTCAACGACTATTATATAAATATTTTTTTTTGTACAGCCGATTGTAGTGTTTCTAATATGATACTGCAACAAAGGAAACGCCCAAGACATAGCGCGCGCGTTGTCATTTTTTGTTTGAAAACTCTTGTGTCATCCCTCAAATTTTTATATTCCACAACAAAACGTTTCGTCCATTCAAACTACCAACCCAACCTGCAGGTGAAAACTCCACTTTCAAATTTTCATAAATTTCATTAAAACATTCGACGTTCCGTTCGTTTCTTCAATTTCAAATATTTATTCTTATCAATTCTTCAATTGCAGTTACATTGTATTAGCATAGAAATAACTATTTTTCTCAGTTTAGAAACTATTGCTCATTTCACTGAAACGACATTTGATAGATGTCTATGCAGAAAAAGTGTAATTAATTAAAATACAACACAATTATATCATTCGCCAAAATATCAACAAACTGATCGTTTTCAGCAGAATAATTTTGAATGGCACGCCTGCGCGTCTAGTGAAATTTGTTTTATTTCTGGCACGTGAGCATAATAAATAAAAGTGTTGATTTCGAAAAATCGTTTCGGTCGGAAGGGCCGTAGATCAAACGATGCGAGTGATTCAGAATATAAATCAAAACGGCATCACGCTAATAGTTGCTGCATTAGCCGTAATTACTGCAAACAGTAAATTGGAATTGTAGTATTGGTGCAGTTGTCATTAAAAACAAAAAAATGAAGAAATACCACTTATTTAGTGCCGGGTGTCCGAGATGCCAAATGATTGCAGAATTTGCCACCAGAATCGCACAGGCAAATCGGACGGCGTACAGCGTTCCTCATTCATAGTGTGCGTTCGAGTCCTAACACAGAAAGTTCTGAAAGTGCGTACAGGCGGTGCACAGGAAATATAATGTGTTACGCTGTTTAACTCCGTTAAAAACCTATCTGCGACGGAATAAAAGATTAATTCAAATATCTAACACATAAAAAACCCAAGTGAAAGGGTACAAGTTTACCGCGCCCGTATCTGTCGATTATCATTGATACATTTTTAATCTCTCGCATCAAATAAGTTAAACGGTTTGTGACAGATGGATATTCACTGATACGTTCGTTAGAAAGTTACTAAAATGTAATAGCGTTCGGATGAATTTATACATTACACCATTTAATATTTATTTGTCACCAGCTGATTTCAGTGCAAATGACGGTTGCGGGTTAAGCTGGATATTCGAAAATGTGAGTATTACCTGTCATACAACGTGCACTATAAACAAAAATATAATCATTTCTACATGCAAACGATAAATAATCGACCAATTGCGATCCGCTTGAGCACATGAACCCAAAAACTGTTGCGATTAAAATTATAAAGCGGCACAAATGTCTCAATTAGAAAATTCTCCATTCATAGTTTTAATAATTAAATTGGTGAATGTAATCAAACGCGGTTGGAGATTTATGGTAATAATTATGTGTGTTTTGCCATGTTGTGTTGGGTTCCCGCCTACCGTACAAACATACACAAACTCCCGTTAATTTTCTATACCAGCGATATGTATTTGCATTGTAAAAACACTGTTTATCATAGATCAATTATTTTAGTTCCGCTCTTTCGTACTCTTTTAAAAAAAATATGTCTTTACTTCAATAACATGGGTTGCATAATTGTGGTTTTTATTGTTTTTCAAATTCTATACAATAGTGTTATAGACTCTCTTTACTCTAAAAAGTCATTACTCTACTTATGTTACAGTGACTGGGACATTATTGATATTGCTTTAAAACAAAACACATTGTATCCGCTAAATAATAGTTTGTCCTTTGTAAATCCTCATCGATTACTCGAACTTTCACGAAAACTCGCATTATCCGAGTTCAGTTAAAGCCTTACGCATATGATAACACAATAGCATTATGACTAGATGGAATATATAAGTATTTAACTTATAAACCATCAGTCGACTACAAATAAAAAATTAGAAAAATAAATAACGTTTATGATGAAAAACACACTATGTCTAAAATATTACTATGTCCAACTCACAAATCACCAGAAAATGAAAATAGAATTGACGATTTTTGTTTGAATAACATTTAACGATTCTTTCACTTATAATGAGGTAAAAAAAGTTATAGTATACAAATATATACAAAAAAATGATCTTTTCTCAATATTACTAAACTTTATGTATTTTGTTAAGGTCTCTGTCCAAGTTATAGAACTCAACACGATTAATATTATTATTCTCCAAAAACAGTCGGTCTTATTCCATTCATTATTATTTATTTATATTTTAGCATTTGTATATAATTAAACATGTCCTTCAAACATTCAAATAATAATACCAATCGAATTCAAACCTTTTTACGTACATCTATAGTGATTGCTTTATTTAATTGTATATCATAAAAATCGGTAGTAATAAACAATGAATTTTCATTGATTTTTTTCTTATTTATAATTCTACTTTACTAGTTACAATTATCGACGAAAAAAAAAACAGAAATAAACCCAAAAAATACTCCGCAATGATTATTATAACTAAAAGAATCTGTGATCGTCATGACATTGAAAAAATGAGTAGTGATTGTACTCAACAAACATTTAACTAATATCAAATTAAAAACGATATATTGTGCAAACTTTATCATGGCTGTATGATTATAATAAAATTAAATAAAAATAATTTTATTACTGATTTTTCTGATGACTATCACGGCTAACGTACAAAAGGGATATAAATAAGTCCTACGTAAAGTATCTTTTTTTGATGGTTTTTATGAATTCGAGTAAATGCGAAATGATTTTAAATTAATAAATCAATCAGCAAATATTGCAACTATATTGTCAAATAGTATTCAATACTGTCACGTTAGTTCAAGGTACTAACCCTGCAATACCAACAAATATCGCGATTATACAGAAGTAAAAAAAATCTATATATTACGCGAATATAGTACTATTATAAAAATCAAAAATCCACCAAGTTTGCCGTCATCGCGAGACCAGCCCAACTAAGAGATAATATCACTCTAATATATCTACTGCATATTTGATAACAATAAATACGGTCAAATCAAACCCGAACGTATAGAAATACTTATAGTAAAACTAATAGCTACTTGAAAAACTGTGATTTTGTCATTGAAGTGCTTATTGGAAGTCTGTTGAAAGGAATATGTAACATCTGTCATGGTCATAAATGCGAGAGCCCAAATACGATTTTTAGCGGCCCGAAAATCAATTATTGAAATGAGTAAACTATTTCGAATATAAAAGAGGAATTTATAAAATGCCACACAAGTGAATCGCTTTCGGGAAGCTCGAGCACGACTCAAAACTAAATTGCATAACACAACACGTACGTAGTTTGGTTTACTATTTTTATTTTTTTCAATCAAATACTAGTATTCCATACGTATACAGCCAAACACTGTAGTGAAAATCGATTCGGGTATTTTGGTGAACGTATTAAAGTTCATAGAAAATAAGCATTGTCAGTAGCAGATTTATGATGGTCACCCTTCGAGTTTTTAAGCACTTTTTTTATAGGCGTCTAACAATATTATTCAACACAGAAAAAACAAAAGTCGTAAACCGTGCAAGTATAACAATACAACATATTCCACTCGAATGAATGCACACCATTGCGTGTCCATTACACGTTGTTCAGAGAGCGCATAAAATGTAATACTTCCGGCGAATGTATGCAAAGGTGTCGACAAAAGGTTTTAACGAGTATGAGGACATTAGGGAAACAGCAGTATCAAAGATGGTTTCACAGATACTTGCGGTGGTTTTTTTTGTCGATACATTGTTGGTGCGCTGTAATTTTGAAAGAGAAAGGGTAGTTTTAGAAACTACAATTAGAGACGATTACTATTGGACACTAACAGCAGTAACTATGTATTTATTTTGTAAACAAAAGCACAAGTTTCCATTCAATAATTAATACTAAAAACAATTTTAAAAACAACCATTTTGCTGTATTTTATTTTAGCATGTCATAACTTATAATTAATTTAATAATACAAAAATAAATCACCTCTTAGTATACATACTAATGCGTCAATTGATATACTAATAAAACAATTATTTAACTTATCTAACAATTTACGTTTGCGCTAAATTTCTGCAGAATTTTCAAGTGTCAAAATTAAAATTCTCCGATTAACAGAAAAGTACAATGTTTTCTACTATCTTTGCAACTAATATTTATCTTAGATGTTTACGACCCGGCTTAACATAACTAATAAGAAATTGGAAAATCTCCCAATTGAAATGTTTATTACAAAACATTTAGAAACGCAATGGATTATTACAGACCGAGATAACAAATTGCCAAAATAGATAAAAATCTTATACTACTAATAGTGATTTCACATTTAACTCCATAAAAATATCTTGTCTCTCAATTCTTTCTAAATTATTTTTTCAAATGCTTTTGCAAACATAAAAATTAATACATAACTATACCAATTTAAATGAAGCAAGGTTTCAAACCAATAACTGGTTTTTCCAAAGAATTGGTAATTATATACCTTATTTTTAAATCAAAAAATGTTTTCCGGTTTTTTTTTTTGTCTTAAAAATTTACGGTAATTGAATATTAAATAAAATTATTAATCGGTATCAAACAACGAACATATTAGAGACTAGGTTTTTCAACCTAAACCGATAACTTCTTTAAATTAACCCATTAAATACTAAAATAATAAATTGATTTCAATAAATTTTGATTGGAATTGAAAATTCATTTTTAAAGTCGTACCATTATTAAGTATTAAGTGAATACATAAGTTAATAAATAAAATCAGAGGCTTACTAGAGAGGTGATAAAATACCCTACAGTTCTTTACTCTGTAAACATACAATTTTTTTTTCATTTAGGGGAGTAGAGAGAGATTTATATATATAATCTCAGAACAGAAGTTAAACTGTGTCTCTGTCGTTATTACTACAATAGTAGTAATTTAGTATCAAACCCTTATAAAAAAATATGAGTAAAAGATACAGTTAGAGAGTACCTGATATTTTTTAGTGCCTGAAAATAAGTACTTTAAAATTGTATTATATTATTAACCGATATTTATCAATTGAAGGTAACCAAAAAAACTATTACCGGGTTTAAGAAGTTAACGTTTATTTTAACGTTGGATATTAAGTAAGATTCGCTATAAAATCTATTTTTTTTTTTGTAACAGTTTCTTCGAGCCCGAGTTTAAATTATTTTTTTATTAAAATAATAAAAAAATATCTCTTTATATAAAAATAGTTTAAAAAATTATATTTCAAGTTAGATAATGTATAAAAAATTATTATTTTGATATAAAGTAAAAGAAGTAAACTTAAAAAAAATTAATGGTCAAAGACCAGTTTTGAATAATTAGTATTAAGGAATTTTAGCATTTTAAATTACAAACGCAAAAATAATAGTATTTTAATTATTGTGCAAAACTCATCTGATCATCTTTTTCATTTTTACATTTCTAAATACTTTCTAATGATCTTCAACTTTTATATTCAAATATTTCATTTTATACAAGAAAAAAGTATATGTAAATATATTTAATTTGATCAACCTCAAATGGGTCATGATTGTTTATGTTTCAATTATAATAGAAAGGCGTAGTATTAAAAAAAAATAAAAATAAGCTAACCACGATAATTTATTTATAAAAATATACTTTCAAATATATAATAAAGTTAGTTATAAATGTATAACTTAAGTCAAAATACACGACCAGATAAAACTCTAGGGAATACTTAGTTTTAACTTTGCTAGACTTCAAACAACTCTTTTGGGACAGCACAACGTTAAGTCAAAGATTGTGTATCTTTGATATTTGTTTAAATTTGGATAAAACATAAGAGTGTAACGAGGTGATAAAAACGACTCAAACTAAACGAAAGAAGAGAAAGAAATTAACAAAAATTTTAAAGAATAAAAGCAAATAACCGACAATGCTATAATAAGTCGTTTTAAACATAATATAATTAATTTAATAGCTTTTGTTGTTATAGATACAAATAAAAAAAATTATTACAAGTCACCGTAATCGAAAATTCAATATCAGTAATCGCAAATCTATGACATTTAAAAAACAATGTATTTAATTAATTGTGTTGAATTCTTTTGAAGTTATAATTCTATACATTTTTATTGACTGCTAAAATATATGTTCCTTTTATCATCACTATAATTAATATTAAAAATCCAATGAAAGTCATTTCA